GGTAATTGGACACAATCTGGTACACATCTTAGAGCTTTGTCTATTCGTCAAGTTTTCTGACTTAGGCATGGGAGAGGTTTCCGGCACACACCCGCCGGCTAGCTCACGTTTGTGTTTTCAGGTGACAAAGCGACGTCGTACGGAGGAGCGTGGACTTGGTCAACAGGATTATACGAGGAGAATTATTTCTTCCCCGTACAATTATTATAAAAAAAAGCACCATTTTTGTTTAAAGCACCAGTTTTCCCTTGTTATATGTCATATTATGGTTTAGAGTTTAGTTTGGTTTCTACTATGGTGAACTGATTCTAAATGGTGAACTGGTTCCAATTTTTATTTTTATTTTTATTTTTAATGAAAACAACTTTTTTAGGAAACATCAAACAGTTAAGTGTTCAATTTTTCAAATACTTTTTTTGCACAAAAAATAAAATCATATGCAATTGAACTTCACATTATTTTGGTTTTTTACACAAAAACAAAATAAAAGTAAAAACACAATCAAACATTAATAAGCATATGTGTTTTTCAAAAAATGAAAACTGAGTTACAATTGCAAGATGGAACAATAGTTCTCACAATATCTATGTCCACACAAAACAAAGGGGTTGAAGAATTGTTTTTTTTTTTCTTCACAAGTTACATATATGGACCATTTTTTATGCATAGATCATTACTCAAATCCTTCACAATATAGAGTTATAAATGCCTGGTACCTATTATCCCAAACAGTTTGTACTTCCTTTTATATACCATCTAACTCTCTAAATGTGTATTCTATTTCACTTTGAAGCTACAATGGATATTGATTTCAACAATAATTCATTTAATGGGAGTGAGGAAGTTGAAGAACAGGATAACAATGCTTTCATTTAATGAGAGTGGTGAAGTTGAAGAACCTAAGAAGGGGATGTATTTTACTTCAAAACAAGAAGTGAACGCATTTTATGCAAAATATGCAAAACACTGTGGCTTTGCGATAGCTTATAGAACACAAAATCTAACAAGTGATAAGGAAGTAAAGTACTTTAGAATTGAATGTACTCGGGCGCGAAACAGAACAAAAAGATCAGAAGTAAATCCCTTGGAGCCATCTTTGTCATAAAAAATTGATTGTAAAGCAAGGGTAAGAGTCAGTCTACAAAATGATGGAAGATATAAGTTAATCACAGTTGTGCTTGAGCACACTCATGATTTGATTCCTACTGACTCACGGCATTTTGCAATGAATAAGAGGATTCTTACTCTAGTGAAAAGGAGACTAGAAGTTAATGATGCAGCAGGGATTGGGGTGGCGAGGAATTTTCATTCCATAGTTGTTGAAGTAGGGGGATATGAGGCATTAACGTTTGATGAATGAGATGCAATGAATTATATAGAGAATGCTAGAAGATTGAGACTTGGAGTAGGAGACGTCGAATCAGTCACACTTTTATTTTTATAAAATACAACAACAAAATTTGAACTTCTATTCGGCAATTGACTTAGATGAAAATGGTCGCATATGAAACTTGTTTTGGGAAGATGCAAGGAGTAGGGCGACTTATAAAGCATTTTGGGGATGTTGTCTCCTTTAACGCAACCTATTTGACAAACAAATATTATATGCCATTTGCTCCGTTTGTAGAAGTTAATCACCATGGACAGTCAATATTGTTTGGTTGTGGGTTGTTATCTAATGAGAACATTGAGACGTTTGTGTGGCTCTTCAAAGAAGGGCTAAGTTGCATGTCAGATGCTCCCTCAAAAGCTATAATAACTTACTAGTGTAGAGCTATGCAAAATGCCATAGAAATCGTCTTCCCACAGGCTTGACATCGTTGGTGCTTACAGCATATAATGAAGAAAATTCTAGGGAAATTAAGAGGATATTCGCAATATGAATCCATAAAGGTTGCTTTGCAAAATGCAATTTATGATTCAATTACAAAAGATGAATTTGAGGCATATTGGCTTGCAATGGTTGAAAAATTCAATCTGAATGACAACGAGTGGTTGGAGGTATTATACCATGAGTGACATAGGTGGATTCTTGCCTATGTTAAAGACATATTTTGGACTGTCATGTCAAGTACACAACAAAGTGAGAGCATGAATGCATTTTTTGATGGATATGTGAACTCGAAGCCTACTTTAAAGCAATTTGTTGAACAGTATGACAATGCCTTGAGAAGTAAGGTGGAGAAGGAGACAAAAGCAGATTTTAAATCTCATAACCAATTGTATGATTGCTTAACAGTGTATCATTTTGAGAAGCAATTTCGTCCAGCATACACAAATTCAAAATTTAAAGAAGTTCAAGCAAAAATGAAGCATCTAGTGTACTGTCGTCCGAATCTTGTCAAAGAGGAGGGTACACATGCATTCCAACCACATATACTAACTTTAGGGCTACTCTAAATCCAAAGTTGCATGATAACTATCACAAGACGTTGGATGAGATCCTAGAACTTGCCACCAATGATGATGGTAAACACAAAGTGATTCAACTTGGGTTGATGGAAATCAAGGATCGAGTGGGAACAATTGAATCAGGTAGCGGGAGTAATGTGCCATGTAGTAGTATTGTACCACCTTCTACTAGTATTGTACCGCTTTCCCATCCTTTACTAAAAAGTCCGCCTAGTCTTAATACTACAAAAGCAAGCAACACTCACAAGGTACTCAGTCCTTTGGTTGCTCATCGAAGAGGCCGTCCATGTACGAAACGGAAGGTTAGCAAGGTTGATCAAATAGTGAATCGGTTCAAGGGAAAGAATAAGAAGACTACTCCCGTACAGGTAAATTATTAAATTCAAAAGTTTTTTTTTGTGGATTTTTAGTTTAATGCTTGAAATTAGAAATGAAATTGTGTTACTATTTTATGATAAGGTGCCGCAAGATCAACCTTACTATTTTCCTTCTATGGTTGGCACACAAGACAATATGTATCTACCGGTATGTGTTGCATGGACTTAATATATTGCACTTTGTTTGTTGTGGGTTTTTATTTTAATACTTCAAATTACTAATAACATTGACTTCCTATTTAATGATAAGGTGCCGCACGATCAACCTTACTATTTTCCTTTTATGGTAGGCACACAAGACAGTATATATGTACCGGTACGTCTTCAATATATGACTACAAATATTTTAATATATGACTATAATTTTAGATTGGTCAATATGTTTCTGGACAATATTTGATTATGTATTTTGTTTTTATAGGCATGGGTTAGCCCAATGCAAACGGCGGGACAATATTGGAAGTACATCTCGTACTCAATCAGGAATGATCAATAATATCAGTAATCAAAGTTCGACAGTAGCATCAACATTTGTTGACTTGAATATAGATGTGGATCCAAATGCCCTATTTTTTTTATTTTATTTTAGTTTTGCAGTAGTAATTGTATGACATTCGTATGTAGACTTTGGATCCAAATGTTGGCTTTATTTTGTGGCAGTTTGTGTTTGGTTAATTTATTTATCCAACAATAGAAGTATGTTTTGTGTTTGTGTTGGCAGTATGTTTTGCAACAATGGATATATTATGGCTGTAGTATGTTGGGTTCATTTATTCAATGTTGGCTTCATTCATTTATCCAATTTGTGATTACAAATGCAATTATTGGTTCTGCATCAGTATTTGAACGAGGGTTTTGCAGCTCGGCTCTGATTGATTTTGTTAAATGTATATATTTTTTTGTTAAAACTGGACTAAAAGCTTGTACTTTTATTGTGTTGTGCTCTGTTTTACTACTTTTGTTTGTTTCTTGGACTGAGATAAAACTAATCCTTGGATAAAGCTGGTATCCAGTGCTATTTTACTCCTGTCACAATTTTCTGTGTGTTTGTTGCTAGGAAATTGATGAATGATTTCTCTAACCATTTGGGAATATGAATTATGGGTTTGGTTGTTGTCTTCACCTTTTATGTGAGTTCCTCTGTAGTGTTTCTCACTCTCTCAATCACCCACATGCATGCAACTATGTCTGCACAAAGTTCTTAAAGAATAATTGCCATATCTTACATTTATGATTTCTCTTGTATATTGTTTTTGTTGTCAAATAGCAATTTACTGTGGATGCTTGGTACATAGGAGGCAGAACCAATCTTGACTACTAAAAAGTATGTTTCTCATTGCTTATTTATCTGTTGTGGATACACAAAAAATTCATTGTTCTTTTGCGTCATATTTTGAAAAAATCCTTCAAATGTGGAAAATGCCTGGTTGAACACATTCACAAAGCATACATCATTCACAACACATACTTCATCTTGGCAGCCATCATTCACAAAACATACTCCATCTTGGCAACCATCTAATTTCAGTCATTTACATCATTCAGTACAAAAGGATACAAAATACGAAACAAGTTTTTGATTACATTCATGAAATTCGTCAGAACGTTAGAGTGTCAGTGATTTACATGATAAAGTGCAAAAAGACACAAAAAACAATGACATAAATCATAATTTTAAAGTTCTTCTCCATCATTTGAAGCCTTCCATGAATTTCATTGTCCATCTCACAAAGCCTTCTCCTTATATCGTTTAATTCTTCTGTTCTTATAGCTTTCTGAGGTCCAACATTAGAACGGATTGTGGAGCTAGTGTCATCATCATTCTCATCTGTGAATTTGAAGTAATTACAATGTTCCTTATGACTCTACATTGCAGAAGAATTAGTTAATCAAATCACATAAATAACTTTGTACGCAGTAAAAGATCAAATTCTATAATAGATATTTACATATTTCGATGGGCAAACAAAGAACAAACGTCCTTGGTTTCCGTTGTTATTCGAGCGTACAATATACATCGCTGCAGTTCTCCCACAATCTTAGTTTTAATCTTCTATTGCTATTATTAGTAGAAGAAGAAGCCATAGTTCTGTAATAACAAATTTATAACAACTTTGTAACAGATTTACAGATTTATAATAGATTTCAACACAAATTTATAAGTTATTATAACAGATTTACAAATTTGAAAACAAATTTCAACACAGATTTTCAGATTTACACATTTGAAGACATATTTGATTGTTTATAATTTTACATATTTGAACCAAATCTGAAAACAAATGTATGAACTTAATTTTACAGATTTCAACAGATGTATACAGAATTATACAGATTAAAGCCAAACCAAACAGATGTATTTTACCAAATAAATCTCAAGCCAACCAAATTAAAGCCAAAAAAAAAAAAAAAAAAAACAGACATATACAGATTTCAACACATATTAGATTATTTATAATTTTACAAATTTGAAGCAATACTTGTGTATTTTACCAAACAAAAAAAAAAAAAAAACAAACAGACATATACAGATTTCAACACATATTAGATTATTTATAATTTTACAAATTTGAAGCAAAACTTGTGTATTTTACCAAACAGATGCATATTTCAAGCAAACAGATATATGGACTTAATTTTACAGATTTCAACAGATGTATACAGATTTATATAGATTAAAGCCAAACCAAACAGATGTATATTACCAAACAGATTTGAAGGCAAACCAAACAGATTTCAAGTAATACCAAATTAAATCCAAAAACAAACAAACAGACATATACAGATTTCAACATAGATTAAACGCAAATCCCAAACCCTAACACATCACAAATTAAACCCAAATCCCAAACCCTAACACAAATTGAAAGCAAAATCCAAACTAAAACCGTCCCATTTGACTATTTTCTATAGAAATTGAAGCCAAACGTAAACCCTAGTTTTTGTAATTTTAGGTTTACCTCAGATTCCTTTTTGTCTGTCGTTGCTGTCGCAGGCCGTCGTTCGTCCTCTGTCGTTGTTCGTCCTCCTACCGTAACCAGAGAGCGATGGGAAGGTTTACCACAGATAAGAAGGATGACAAAGATCTTTGGAATGAGAGGGATGAGTACAGAGAGAGGTGAGAGTGTGAGAGTTATTCCTCCTTCCGCGACCACTAGAGATGAGAGAGCTGAGAGAGATCTGTGAAATGAGAGCCATTCGAGCCCAATAGTTTCGAGCTACAGAGCATTTTCCTATTCAATAATTGTAAAAGTATCACTTCAATTGATGTAATAATTTTTTTTGGTAATTTACAATACACTTTTTGAAGTTTGCTTAAAATACGAATTGCCCCATGTGGCTGAAAAAATTTCAAATATTTCCCTATCAGAACTTTTTATTTAACAAAATTAATTGAAAAAGTGAAATTTCTGATTGTTCACCTATATAATAATAAAAATATATGAATTATTAATTGAAATAAAATTTTAACATTATTAAAAACTATTAATTAACTTGATGTTTTATTAATAAAAAGACATATTTGTTATGAAATTAGAAATCTTAGGAGGCATAATGTAATTTCTAGAACCATAGATGGTAATTTGTAGTTTAAGTAAACATCAGGAGGCGTGTTTGTAATTTATCCCTTTTTTTAAATAAAAAAAAGATGAAACAAAGGTAAGTTTATTGTAGATTCACAATTTCATGAACTAAGAGACTTATTTGATTTTGATTGATTTTTTAAAAATTGAATTTTTTGGTTTTTATGTATTTTTTTAGTAATTTTTTATATTTAAACTTAAAGTATTAAATGTTTTTACTAAAAATAAAAAAATAAAAAATAAATAAAAAAACTCAATTTTTTAAAACCAAGCAAGGTGAATGGTACCATTTTGTTGTCGGTATTATTGAGTTTCGGCTATTGGTGGTGATTGATGATCGTGACGATTACGGTAGAATTTAAGCAACGGTGACAGAGACAAATAATTATGAAGATTGTGGTTATGGTTTTAAACTAGAGGTAGATCTTATTTTTCAAATCATATTGTGAAAAAATTAATAATTTATTTATTTATCTTTAAATCACAGCTAATTTTTGATAACTTTTTTTAGTTTGTTTAGAATATCTTTGTTTGGACCTATAAGCTTTGTTGTTCGTTTATTTGTTTGTTTGTTTATTTGTTTTTGTTTTTTTTTTTTTCAATCCTTTCATTGGACCATTGTTTAGTGAAAATGATAACTCAATTTATTTTGCTTCATAAACCCCCTAAGGAGAAAATATATAATTGAGTAAGGACAAAGTAAAACATGTTTTTTTTTTCTTGAAAAATATTAACGAAGTAACATATTACTGTTAAACAGGGTAACTATCAAACAAAATAACATGTTATTGTGACACAGGGTAATATGTTACTGTTAGGCTTTTGTTATTGGCAATCCCATTTGATAAAACTCTTTTCAATTGTAATTTTATTCGTTCTTTTATTTTAGTGAGGTTATAAGTATTTAGATGTGAATCCAACCTGAATTGTGCCTTGTAAAGAAAATTGTGATATTTGTTCTTACATGTTTGCCACTTCGCTGACTATGCTAGAGATCAAGCGAAGGCACTTGTTCAAAAATACGCATTTAAACCACACCGTTCGAGTGGCTAATCCTGCACTCGAGCGGTGATCGTGATTCTGCCTGCTATAAAGCTGCAATTAAATCAATTTCTAGGGTACGATTTCTAGATCTTCTTTTTGGGTATTAGGATTTTTATCTGGAGTTTCTTTACTTGTTTCCTTTGATATCTGTGAGAGTTTATATCATAAATTGAGTGGATTATATCAAAGGGGGTTGTTTATTTATTCAATACAAAAGAGAGAGTTGATTTCGGTGGATTCCGGAGAATTTGGGCCTGAAGATTTGGTGGATTTCAGAGTGACTTACCATTGTGGATTCGACATCGGCGTTATAGATTCAACGTTGGGTAAGACAATTCCAAGGTGAAGACGGGGCGGGAAGAGACACATAGGGGTCAGTTCGATTCGGACATAGATTTGCTAGGTAATTGAGTGTACACTTGTGGAACTCCTTTTTCTCTTCTTAGTGAATTTTTTTGTGGCTTTACCCATGGCTTTTTTTTTTTTTTTGTCACAATCGGAGACGCTACAATTGTGGTTTTTTTTACTTAAAATCATTGTGTCGATTTGTCTTTGATTGTTTGATTGAGATTGCTATTTACTAGTTAAAATTGATATATAATCACAAATCAATATCTTGGGGATTTAAGATTTTTCAGTTACTATCAAATAAAGTAATATGTTACTGTTGCTATTTACATCAATTTCGATGGTCATAATTTTTTTTATTTAAGAATTTCATAGTCAACATGAATCTTATTTGATAGATCTTAATGGGAGAATTTTAAAAATACTAATTTTATTAAAAACTGACATCTATATCAAAAATTATATTAGTTTAAAGTTTAATATTTTGATAATAATGGTATGTGTTGATTTTTTTAAGAAAAACATTTTGTAGTTATCGTTAATGCATTAAAATTTTATTATAATGGGGTTTTGACTAAATAAAAAAATAAAAAAAATACAGCAAAGTTCAAAGGCCAAACAAAAGCCTACACTAACTACGAATAACAAAAGCGGCCTTAAAAACTGCATTCTGTTAGGGAAAATTAGTCTAAGGTCCCTCTCCCATTTTTAGTAATGGAAGTGATCCACAATATCATTTTATGATGTCTAAGGTCTATCAATCCCACACCTATGTATCACAGAGAAATTTGATA